AAGCATACACACATATGCACCTTGTATATTTTTCAAGCTGCTGAGTCTGAGACTTATATTGCACAGTCTGCCACATGGGATTCGGCTACCTTAACCACCACACCACCAGCTGGCCCAATAGTTGTTTGTTTTTAAAGGGAAATATCTCAGAGATCAAAGAGTCCTTGAAAACAAAGGAATTTCATTCTGATGGGCTGGCATGAAAAGGGTAACTCTTTTGGGTCCAGGGTTCTATAAACTGCCATATTCATTGATTCAGTTTGAAATTTTTTTTTTTTTTTTTTTTTTTTTTTTTTGTTTGCAGTCACCAGCAAGACAGAGAGACAGAGGGTGGAAGGAGGAGAAAGCACACCTTAATGTGTCATAGGTCACGCCATAATATCTTCTCCTTCATTATCTATCTTGCCAGGCTTTGGAGCGGGTATGCATTCATGCCCAGAATGTCTTCTAAGCCGGTGGGATCAGTTATATGGGATCTGGTTCCCTTAACCACTAGGCTAGGTGACCGACTCCTAACTGACATGTATTGAGCATGTACTCTTTGCCTGATTGTGCTACATATTTTCTTTCACATAGCTCATTATATTCTTTCCAGCAACCTTGGGAAGTTTATAGGAAACTGAGGGCCAGAGAACTAAAGTGACTTGCCTGTGGGCAAACAGCATTTGTGTCAAACTTAAAACTAGTTCCTCACGTCTCTCTGATTCCCAGTCCAGTCCTCTTTCTTCTCTGCCACACTGTCTCATTGGATGTTTTATAGATGGAAGAACGCTTCCTATGTCCAGGATATTGCCTTGAGTCTTAAAGGATTGTGCATAAATAATTAGAGGATGTCCATGTCTTCTAGGGACTTAACATCTACTTCTCATCAAATCATTTCAGTGCCTCAAAGCCAGTCTTCAATTGCCAGATTTTCTCATTAATTGTCTTAAGCAGGTCTAAGGAATTCTCATTCAGAAAGTCATTTAGGTTTGGGAGGGGGAGTGGAAGGTGGTTGGTGATGCTTTTATTTGGATGATTTCTTGTAACCAAACACCTGAAAGGCTTTTTTTTTCTCCTGAAAGCAATGTCTATTTCTCCCTGAGTAAGCAGCAGCTTCCTGTTAACCTTCAGCATCCTGTCAACTTCTGGCCTTCCAGAAGTCAGCTATTTCTCCTCATTAGGCTGGACTTTTTTTATTTTTTAATTGCCAGAGGGCACATGTGCTTACCAATGAGAGATAAAGCGCAAAAGGAAGAGAACAGTCTCC